TAAAGCACAGAGCCACAAGAGCACACTCAAAAACATGCCAGGCTCTCCGTGCTGGAGACAAGTAAGAATTCAAGCAGTATTTTGGCCAGCATTCCGCACTTTATAGGCAAACTATCAATGCTGAAATGCCTAAAATTGTGCCTGATGAAGACATTCCACTTATTTGGGTCACAGAAGGGTGGTAATTTTTATAGCGTTGTTTTGCAAGACAAAGTATGTAAAACTAACGAGGAACAAAAGCGAAAAAAGGAAAAACAGAAAAGCAGCAACCCGTATCCTTCACTTTTTTAGACCAATTGCTAGCTGTACAAGCCATCAAATCATAACGTTTTGGCAGGCTGGTATTTTTAAGCATGTTAAGCTCTCCTTTTCCATTGCTTGTTATGGGAATATTGGGCTTTAGGGTCTCAAATACCATTCAGGGACTTGGACAAGAGGATAAATTTCATTTCTGCCCTAGGATTTTCAACTCCCTGTGCGCTCCTTAGAYGTTTTTCATGTTGCTTTACCCTGCCCACAATTCTTCTTCTGAGATAAGCAAGTGGAAGGACATTTGCAGGAGGCTACATGAGCTCCAACAGGGCTACAAGGACCTTCTCTCCAGCTTCTGAAGTGCAGGGCTTGCCCAAAAGCACGTGTCCATATGTCTGACCAGAAGTCGCGCAGACCCCTGGATACATCCCAGATCCAAACACACCAGTGGAATCTCACACTGGGGATTTGACTTTATTTGACGCGYGTGTGCTTGCTAACCAAGTGACAAGCACCTGGTTGAGAAAAATATTTTCTTGGAGCTCCCAGATGGTGTAGGAAGGATTGTGACATGCTCATTTTGAATGCCTGGAAGGTCAAAAATGGCTTTCTAGTTTTATAAAGAGCTATTTTTTAAGTATAATTTTTCAAAATTGACCATCTAATGGCTGAATTGTGAAGGAGAAAAGACTTGCTGTGTTTCCTTGCTAATAYTGGCTACTTACCTGTTCAGAAACATCTTAAAGGTGTAGGAGCAGATCCCCTCTGCACGTTCTGGCAGAGCTGGGCTCTGATTTGCATGGCATGAGGTGTCTGACTGGAGTCAGCAGGGGCAAAGTTGGCAAAGTTGACCTTGTCCATGGGGGCTTTGCAAGGAAGACAGGGGAGCGCAGCTCGGCGGGCTGCAGCTGACTGCAAATACCTTGGCACGAAAGGGACCTTGTAGCAAGAAACCYCTCCATGCACGTGTTAAAGTCTTGCCAGACTGAGTGCGTGTTACTCGCAGATTTGAACTGCAAATAGGTTGCAACAGGGCCATCCAAGTGAGGTAATGGCACAAGCCTCTTTCAACAGCAATAACATGCCCGTAGGGTGGAAGAGTTAGAAAGACAAGATGTGCAGCAGCAGCTGTGGACCAGCTTACGTACTGCAAGTCCATGTGAACCATGCAGTGAAAAGYGCCTTTTCACTAGTTTTTTCTTTCCAGTTTCCAGTTTATTGTCTAAGAGCTGCTTGTTGTCCCTCCAAATGATGAAACGACCCCACTGCAGRCTGGCCTTGCTAGCACTGCTTTGATGTAGATGTCCCGCTAACACTGTCAGACATTGGCAATGGTCAACCGACCACCAGAGCACTCAGAAGAGGACACCAGGGTGCCTGCAGGATGTGCTCTGCTGACTGATGAGTCTTCTGCACCATGGCCTCCTCTCACACCCACACAACACTGTGTGTACAACAGTTTGTAAACATTAGTCTGATGAAGAATGTAATGCTGTGCTTTGTCCACACTGCCAAAGATGATGCAGATTTTCTGAATGTAGGAAACAACTGTCTGCATATGTGAAGTGCAGGCCCACCTTCTTCCCGAAAGCCCTTTCAGACACTTTTCCTCCACCAGCTGCTAACTATGCAGTGTTTTTTTATGAATATGCTGCAAGGCGCCTGCCTTTCTTTTCTCCTGCTGCCAAGAAACTTATGACGGTTTGTTGCTGTAGCATCAAGAGACGTGACAAGAGGATTTATTGAATACTTATCCACTACTTGCTCATTTTTCATGCAAGACTTTCTTAACACAAGTCACAAACTGATATTCCTGTCTTATGCGAAGGAAATCTAAGCTCTACAGTCATCAGCTGGAACAATAACCCGCGATATCTAATTCAGGCTGTGCAGCCCTGATTTCAAAAAGACAGACTGCAATATTTAATAGTGCTGAAAAGACAGAGAGGTTCTCATCTGGAAAGACATTTGTCACAGGAACGCTTGGCATACTTGACTTCCAAAGTCAAGCTTAGTTTTTAGATCAGGACCACAGAAACCCTTAAAAATTCAAAAGATAGATGCTGTCTCTTTCCCATGAGCTTTAAGATGAAAAGATCTTAAARGTTATTATAGTGGTACCGTGCTGCATGTGCTGCAGTAACTACAAGCTGGGAATTTTGGAATATGGAGATAAGTGATAAAGTCCTGGTTACAATGAAGCAGYGAGGCCAGCGGGGCCTCAAAAGGCTCTCCCTCACACAGCCTGATTCCCTAAACACCATTACACAAAACAAAATAAAAATTAAGAAAGTATTAGGGTTCTGCAGGTCACAAGATACAGAAACAAACTGCACAGTTGATCCTAGTCTAACCTTACAAGAAACGACCCCCTGAGGGCTCTTGGCCACGTGTTCTCAATTTCTGCCTCTTAAACAAGAGCAGCACAAGGAGAAAAAGACCAGTTACAAGATTACAATGTTAGAGGGTTTACTGAGGGCGGAAAGAGCCTTATTATTATTAAAAAAGGCAGAGGCCATAAATAACAAAAGAAAACACCATGAGAATTGAGTTCTAGCTGACTTGCTAGTCAAACAGCAATCATGGACAAAGCTGCATGACTCGGTGCTAACCTACCTGCATGGAGAGCCAGGCAAAGCCCTCAGCGTCCCTGCAAGATCCTCACTCCTTGCGTTACCTTATAGTATTCTTAGGACTTCTTATTCTTAGGTTGATATATTACTTTTACGGTACTTTCTATATGAACATACTTGATACTTGAACAGAACCACCAAGACTCTTCACAGCTACAAGCATTTCCTGGAAGGGAAATCATTTCCAAGTTAGTCTTGTCAGGAATAACTTATTTGGACAGAACAGGGCCCGCGTTGTCCTAAAAACACATAAAACATTCTTAAGGAGAAGTCATTTCCTCCCTCAACAGGGATATAAATCCTCCGCGGACATAAAATCTACGGAAAGAAAGAAAAACCCTCACACCTGGGGGACACAGAGTCTTAGCATCTGTATTCACAGGAGGGTCTTAGCAAGGAGCACTCCCTTACCTACTTAGTGCAATTGATCTGTATGCTCTCCTTTCCACACAGGTGCAGATTTCTTTTTCCTGAGAACTAGGGAATGCTACTGCCCTGCTTGGTGCACAGCTACGGTGGCTTTTGGCAGAAGGGACTTGCATATGCAGCAGCCTCATGGCTATGGGAAACCTCTCTCGAAAGCAACTTTTTTCTCGTATGCTTCATCTTGTCCTTGAGCTGCAAAATGCAAGGAGAACAGAATTCACAGTTGCACCCTTGCACAGAGAGACAGAAACCCTATAATTTAACTGTGTGTGCTCTACCTGAAAGCAGAAGATGCTCAAGCCCTGGAAGTTGAGTTGGGCAGGATTAAAACAAGGACAGCAAGGGCATTGAGGCCAGTATCAGCGCAGCAAGTGGCAGGTGGTAGCATGAGCTTTGCCCTCCCGGCTTCCTCACTGTCATTTCCAAGTGATAAATTATTATTAAACAACTATGCTAAAATATACAGGACTTGCTTTATTTTTAGGCTTCCATTTGGATGCCAAGCCGTTTAAACTTCAGCCAGCTTGGGAAACACTATTAAAAAAGAAATTGAAGAGTAGCCAAATTCTTCGCCTGTTGCGAACATTATATTCAACAACTAGTGGCTCGGCTTGCATCATACTTAGGCACCATAAATAATGTAAACACATACTTCTCTTTAGGTTTAGCATAATAATTACCAGGGAGAGCATTTCAAGACATCGTGTATGTTTAGCCCTCTCTTTTAGAAAGGATGCTACCCTCAATAAAGCACATAGCATTTGTGGCTACATCCCATTCATTAATACATTAAATGTATAATGAATCGTATATTAGCACTAACCTCACTTATTCATCTGGGGAAAATAAAAAAAATAAAAAAAAAAAAAAAGGAAACAGTCCCTATCCCAATAAACTCCATGCTTTTCCAAACCGTGCACTATTAAGATAAACAGCTTACAGCAAAAAATCTATCCTTTCCACTCAAGCTTAGCAAACACAAAAGAAAGGTAGCTTTGTTTAAATCAACATTTTCCCTTGAATTTCTGTGCAGAGAGGATCTCACCTTGCTGCTGCAGGCTGGATGGTTAGGACAGGTTTTGCAGCCCAGGTTTCTAAGGCTGAGTCCCAAACTGGGGCATTGCCCCAGGGGGCTGGAGGTAGGAAGCTCTAGGAGGCAGAGAGCTCATGAGAATCCTTCCAAGTTCTTACAAATGGCTTCACAAATTCAGTGGATAGAATGAGACCTGCAAATTCCCAAGCTTAGAAGGGTATATCTCATGAGTTTCACGTTTGCATCATTTCATCACAGATGAAATTGAGTTAATAACATGATCTAAGATTGATATCTTCCTTATAGACTTAATCTTGCTTCTCAGTTTGACAGCAGCAGAGCTTGCCAGCTAACAACTGTCTTTAAATATTTCAGAACTACAGAACAGACTGTATTCATTCCTAAGGCAGACAGCAACTTAGAGCTGCACTATTCATAAATACACATTTATTTTTTCTCATTAGAAATGCATAATTACAGCATTTAAAAGCATTTTCCCCTAGAAAAGTATTTAAGCAACAGTACAAACAAAATTGTTAGTCCTTTGCAAATACATTTTTTTTCRTTACACTGAACAGAAAACACCAGCAAAAGGCTAATACTTGCAGTTATGGGATTTTTTTAATATTTTCCTTTTTTTTGTTATAAACACCATAGCAAATAAAAAAGCTGTTTTAACAGTGAAAAATATTTGAGCTCTTSATTTTCTCTATGTGGTAAAGCCAGTATTGCAAGCAGCAATACACTTCATAAGGTATCTACAGACATTCAAATGGTGTATTTCACAGAAGAAATGACAGGATGAACATTAATTTAGTCTTACTGTTCTGATTAATTAGATTTCTTTGCCTCCTTCAGGAAGGATTTCTTCCTCTTTAAATATACCTAAGGGCCAGCCACGTATTTTCCAAGGCCGGGTTCTGCTGTCCAGTGATGTAGTTCCAGCTGAAGTAAATGGGTCTGGTGAGGACTAGGTGCATAAGAGCAGACACCTCCTCCGAGCCCTGACATCGAGAGGGGATGCCCAAGGTGTGACCATGAGGCTGGGAGGTGTTGCTGTTCTCCTGGTGCTGCACGAGGGCTACAGCTTCCCACCGTGGTTCGCTGGCAGCGCGGTTGACACAGCTTTCCGCAGTTCCTGGTTTATTGAATTTGGATGGCTCCGTGCTCTATCTGCATCTCTGGCTGGATTGCTGATTGGAGGGCATCAGTGCCCTAGGAAAGGAAAAAGGAAATCAGTGTGTTCAGGCAAAAGTGCTTCTCAGCAATGTAACCAAGGGAAGGAGGACAGATTGACCATGTGAAAGCTCCTCTATGCACCAGCGCAAGCTCTGCTTGGAGGCCAGGCCCACGACAGAGCTGAAATAAGAGTCACAGAGGCAGCAGAAACGACCACAGGGACAGAGCAGCTCCCAAACCCAGAGCAATTATGCAGCCTACCACGCTTCAGACTGGAAAAGGGAAGGATGAAGAGCAATCATGGCAAGGAACTAAATGCTCATAGGCTGCCTGTGTAGCCCATAGACAGTGGCAGCTCCCAGGGATAACGAGAAAGGAGCTCAACAGCATCAGAGAGGAAGAGCCCATCAAGGGCTACCACCTACATAGACAGCGTGTCCCTACGGGACAGAACTATTGTAGGCAGCGAGGGTGACATTATCTATTTGCCCTGTTTTTGCACTGATTCCCAYGGGCGTAGGATGCTGCTGGCCCTCCAGAGTCCTCCTCTGCTCTGGGGAGGACAAGAAGAAGCCACCACAGCAGCTTCAGAAGCATCGCTCGTTTTTCTCACAGGAAAGTCTTCACGGAGCCCTCGTTCTCCTCACTCGCCAAGCAAAACAAGTTGTCCATGAAAGAATATGAAGAAACACAACTGATTTAGACTTTAAAAGGAAGTCTCACTAAAGATGGAATTGTCACATAGCAGGAGCCAGAGGAAGCTCCAGAAGACAGGACATTTTTTAAACAGAGAAGTTGGTTGGAGTAAGGAGACTAGATAATCCAATCCCATCTCGAGAGCCGTGTGCTCAGCAGCATTTAGGAGCAGCTGTATTTGCTTAGATAAAGTCCATCATCCTCAATAACCCTTCCCCTGACAGTGGCCAATATCACAAGCAGAGATGGATCATAAGAAAAGGGCAGGAATTTAATGATATTTTCCTATACACTCCCACAGATTCCAGAGCTCTGCCCTTGATGGATTTTTTATCCATAAATTCATCAAATTGTTGCTTAACACAAAGCCCTGGATACAGAAGCATTTCTGTAGAAACACTTYTTTTATGAAATACAATCCTACTTGAAGCCCTGTATTTTATGCTCGGTCTAGTACTGATACTTGCTAAACCACAAAGAAACAAGGATGGAAACCCACCTACCTATACTATCCTTCAAGGTTTCCTATACAGCTTGCTTACTCAAATATAAATTCTGGAAGGTTCAAAATCGCAGAGCTCTCCTCCTAAATAAAGGTTTTACTGTGCAATTATTCCACATCATTTCATTGTTTTGCTGCCAGTAACTGCGAAGAGCTATGGTATCTTTTCCTTGCAATTTTATAGGGAATCTGGCGTATTTTTACATACACAATAAATCAGTGCCAATGTGGAGAATAATTCACACAGATTGTTTAGTTTGACAGCAGCTGAGTCCCAAAGTGACCACCAAAGGTGCTTGTTTCCCTCCAATGGTGAAAAACTTTCCTCCAAGATTCAGACCAGCAGCCTGTCCAAAGGACAGCCTTAGCTTTGCAATTATGGTTTTTCCCAATGCTAACCAAATTTAACACTCATACACGAACTCTGAGTACAGAATAAATCCAAATATACTTTGCAATCATGACGTTTTGTATTTCCAAATTCTGCAAGTTGCTGTAAGTGACTACTACTATCATGGCATGCAAAGAAGCTAACTAAACCTAGACCTCAAATTCACATCTCATTTCATCTCATTCAAACGTGCATTTTCTGCCTGCAAAATAATACCAGTATATTAATAGATGGTGCTTTGATATGTGGTTTAGGGGCCCTAGGAAATTGTTACAATCCTAGCTATTAATACTTGTGTCTAAAATTATTTGCAAATATTCCTGAGGGATTCTAGGGTACTAGAATCAGTCCAGGTGCATAATAACAAATGCCACTTTAATAAGCTTTATAACTGGAAATCATTGACAGCATCTCAGTATATGATAACAGGTATAGAGGTTGCTCTCACTGGCAGGGATACACACTTAAAACTTCTCCCTTTAGGCACGAGATCTTTCTGACATGATGCAGGACTGCTCCATAATTTCAGYCAAAAAAGCTATGGGTTATCTGTACATCTTGCAGTAATTCAAGTATTAGTTGGCGTCTCCATTTCATCCACAGGCCCTTAGTTTTTCTTTGCGTAAATGGAAGAAATATTTATGGCAAACCTATTTTTAGTGTTGTCTATTTTCCTTTTCATATTCTTCTTATTTCACATTCCTTTTCAGTTTCTCTTCAGCTTTGTATAAATCTCTGTGGTTAACCACAATATTAAAACCTAACACGGTGCAAAGTGTCTCTGAAGGAAAAAGTAACCCCTTTGGTGGCTGCCAATGGAGTGGGAGGCCGGTGCCTGTTTATAACTGAATTCAGTAACCAACTGCTTGTCAGATCTGGCAGCCAAAACAGGAGGACAATTTTATAGCCATAGTTCAAACCATGGTTCGTTTGCCAGGAAGATTACTTCGTTTGGGCAGGTTGCATGTGTTTTCTTCACACTTCTTGTTTAGCTTCTAAACACTTCTTAGCTTTGTATATACCTCTTCTTTAGCTTCAACCCACCTGCAGACTAACCTGCCCACGGAAGGAGCACAGAGCGCTTTGGTTTTGTGCCCAGCAGCTCTGCACTGGATTCCTTTGATTTCTTAGGTGATACATTGGACAAAAACAGGTCTTGAGATCGTCTGCTGAGGTTTCCATAAAAGAAACTCCTTCTAGCTAGCAAGTGGTATCTTCGATTTTACTACAATTTGGCATCCTCCAAAAGTCAGTTCGCTACAGTCTGGTTCATGGAAGGACATGGAACCTTCCTCAGGAAAACCTGCCACGAGCCACAGCTTCCTGCTCATGTGAAACGAGTCTGAATTCACTCCAAATCCAGCCACTTTTAAGCTTCCCCAAGCAGCCCGAGAGTCTTCTACACTCAGATATAGGAAYGTAGAAAAATAAATAAATAAATAAATCGAACCTCCATCTTCACTGAGAGGATAAAGCATTCACTGTTAGCCTGGGAAACCCAGGCTGTTGATCAAAATTAATGGAAAAATGCTGCCAGAAAGGGAGTAAGAGAAACCTCGGTTTGAAAAATATTTTTGGGTAGTTTCCAAGCAAGATTTTCTCCCTGTCCTTTCAATGTGGTTCTCATCCTTCAAGGATGCAGAAAAACAATGATGACCAAAATAACTATTCTCTGGGGGTATTGAGCAATAAGTTAAAAGCAGGAATAGTCAAAGACCACATATACCTATAACCAAACGATGTTTCTTATTACAGATGATGTTTTTGTCATTCAGGGGCAGGATCACTGACTCGTTGGGGCTGCAGTGTTTGTCGGCAGACATGCAGTTCCTCTGACAGGCATTTCCATCAGTTTAAGCACAAAGAAGTGACGTTAGAAACAAGGATACGTACTGCGTTCGTGGCGGAGTGGTCTGTCACTGGGGCCAGCTGCACGTACTGCACTTGGATGTCACTCCCTTGGAGCGGGGATCCGTCAACACCCCCCGACGCCGGTTCCGCAGAYGCAACCGCGATGAGCTGGGCGCCCTGCAGCACCTGCAGGCAAAGCAAGGGGAGAGCATCTTGTAAGCACAACGCCTTATGAAAGAGTTAACTCGAAACAGATGTAAAGCCAAAGATGATTAAAAGGTACACAACAAAACCTGCCTATCAGGAACGGTGACTTTAAATCGTGCTACGCATACGGAAAGCTTCTCGTACCAGATGCTTGCTGCATTTTGCTTATGAGATCCGACTTCTTTCCACCCCTTTCTGAAAGGGTTAACAAGCCACGTACCTGGAACCRTTTAACTCCCCTATGATTCCCTAATACAAACCAGCACTGCACTCTACACGCATCAGCGCTAGCAAAGGAACAAATCATCCTGGAGGCCGAGGCTAAATATGTCAGTTTTAATATGTTTTTTTACCTTTTAATATCATCTGTTAGTACATAGACTGTTCTAATAGGTAATAACAGTTAGTACACTAATTCCCCAGTCTAATTATTAGAAGTGTTTTCTTAGAGCACATCCAATTCCCTCTAGGTCGAACGTGAATTATCCCAGTAATGCAAGGAGAAGCAAGGCAGGGATGCTTAAAAGCTCTGGTGGGAGAGGAAACGGAGCCTTCCCAGTCCTATAGCTCTGCCTGCAGCTCAGACCTCGCTCCGGGGCAGCAGAGCACAGGATGCAGCTGCTCCTGCTCGGGTTCCTGCCACAGACCCCACCTCTYGCCGAGCTCACAAGGAAAACTTAATCCCACGCAAYTTAATCCCATGTAATTTAATCCCACRCAACTTAATCCCACACAATCTGCTGGGAAGAACCAAGCTGAGCTTTTGCATCTGATCCAGCTTTGCAGGAAGCTGGTTTAGAACTTTTTCGGCTTGATTTTTATGATGGTAGAGAAAGAGACAGAGAAAAAAATGCCTTTGGCTTCTCTCTTGTCGTTCTTGGATGGCCAGGTTCAAGCGCAGAGGGTAGAAGAAAGGAAAATCATTGTTTTTTGTTTASTTTTGCTTGTTTAGGTACTCTGCCACCTCCTTACAAGGAAACGCTGAAAGACGTTTCAAAAGATTTATGATTCTTTTAATGCGTTCCTCAAATCATCACGGCAAGTGCTTTGGTGAACTGTTTACAGCGAGAAAGAGCGGTTTGCAGAGGCCTCCAACAGTGAGTGCCCTCGTGAGAGCCGCGGCCGCGCGCGCTGTTCACCAAGGGAGCTGAACAAGGTTTGTAATTTTGCTAACGATGCAGCCGAGGCGCGTGATAACATCAACAGCACGAACCCTCCGCACCGAACGCTGCCGCTGACTGCTACACATTCACAGACAGAGCCAAGATGCTCCTTCTCACGGCCAAAATCACTCCTGACAACTTATTATCACTGCAACAATGATGTTTCTACTGTATAGGAAGGCATAGGCTTAATAACTACTGCTAATTAAGGTTTAATAACTACTGCTAATTAATGTTTATGGCCATTGACTCTTCTTTCAGATGGGGTAAGAGCACAACACTGTGCACCGTGACTGGCTTCAAGCAAGCAGAGAGCAGTGACTCCATCTATAAAAGAACATCAGAGTGTTCTTGCAATGAGGCTAATCGTAATTTACTTCTTGAAAAGTGAAACACAAATCAAAAGGAGACAAAACAAATTTTCTATTTGCTATTTTATGCTAAATGTGATCAATTCCTCTCAGTGACCTACCTTTGCCAGGCCACCTGCAAGAAACCAAGAGATACTTGGATAAATGTGTCATTTTGCCGTCAAATGGCACTTTCTCTACTGCTTTTTACACAAATGGTGCTTTTCAAATCACCCCTTTGTGCCGGAGAAGCTCTTTGCGCGGGAGCCTTCATTCACGAGGATGCAGCTCGGTGCCGGTTGGCACCGCCGGCGCAGGGACACAGGACGAGACGCCTGATGACACGAGCCCCACGGTGGCACCAAGTCCCTAGGCCGAGACCTGCACCGGGCACCGTCACAAGCCCACGTGGCAACAGCTCCACACGTGACTCCCTGTCCTTCCGTGCGGAGGAACGGGGAGACAAAGCGGAGCCAAACGGCCTCAGGAAGGAGAGACCCGCGGCTCATGCCGTTCTTCCCCCTTTGCCCGCTCCTGTTTGCACAGACCTGGACAGGATCAGTGGCCGCAGCCCGCAGGAAGGGAAGGTGAGCTGACAGAGCAAGACACATCAGCCTCCACCCGCCTCGTGCCAAAATATTTGGGTTCGGTAAATTAGGGGATTTGCTCTAAATTGGATGTTACATGGATATGTTTACAGAAGGAGCTTAGGAGCTGTATCCTGAGTACTTCCCTACCTTTTCTCTACCAATTGCCTGCTTCGTTTTCTTAGTGAACATGGGGCTTGGAAACCCGAGCTTGCTTTTATAGGGAAGCAGTGGAGGAAGCGGTGCAGCGCATGCGGTGCAAAGCCGGAGCAGAAACCCAAGGAGAGGAGCCTTCCACTGCTCCGCTCGCATAAACAAACCAGCTACTGGAGACATGCTGCTCAGCAGCGTGTTTATTTTGGGGGGGTTGGGAAAAATCATTCTTGTACCAATGTATTAATTAGCGAAAGCAAGCACGCGGGATGCTCGGCAGCCGCAAAAAGGCTGATTTTCAAAAGGAAGAAGCATTTCACTTCTTTGGGGCTCGCTTTATCCGCAAGTACATCGTGCCCAGGCTACTTAGAGCATGTTTATGGCACTAGAGAGAAACAAAGCAAGAAAAAGAATCGCTCTGGAGCTTGAAAATTAAAAGCAGAACAATCTAATGCTGAAAAGGCCCTAGCAGGCAGCAGCACTAACGCTTGTCTTGGATTCCTTTAAATGCCGCCTAGCTCATTATTGGGGCATAACTGGCCAGATAAACGAGCCACCGACCAAATGAGAGAATGCAAGAAAAACACAGCAAAATTCCCACTCTTAAATTAAACCATCTGAGATTTAATGAAGATATGAGTGGTGAGTTTGCCTTAATGCCTGCGGAGCCCCGACTTGCACTCGGAGCAGGAGCGGCCTCCCCCTGGGGCCAGGACCGCCGCTCGGCTCCTGAAATCGAGACCCAAGCGGAGGAGAGGGAGGAAAAGTGGAAAATTCTCATCCTGCCCCATCTTTTTTGTTGAAAGGGATTTGGAAGCGAGGCTGTTTCTGCAGCCGCGATGGCCGGGTACATTGTGTTTTATCTGGTGAGCCAAAGCGAGGATCAATCCAAGCTCCGTCCCAGCCCGGAACATTTGATCCCGCTCCACATTCTGAACACCTCCGTGTCAAGCATGACACGATGACCTCCAGAAGGCTAAAGATATCACTAAACTAATCGCATCGTACTCAAAAAATAACGTGATTTATCAAGAATCTCAAGCTTATCCAAGGAGAGAGGAAAATGCAACTGAACGGAAAACGCAACCGAGCTGACATAAAAACAGCAATTAATCACGTTTTCTCTAGATTCTGCCGGGGACTACAATGAATTTATTGTAACTCTGCCTGATCTTAAAAACATGATACAAGTTTTTTTAGGATGAAGATCTATATTCACCCTTTGTAATTGGGACAAACAGTATTTCTTGATGCAACTTTTGTACAGAAAAGGGTCACCCAGGGCTGGAGCAACCGCACGGCTCCCAGTTGGCTGCTTGCTTGACCTCCGGATCACTACTTTAATATCATAATTCACATCTACCATTGACTTTAAAATAAAGGAATTGTACYGAAAACCCTAAACAATCTGCCCTTTTCTTCCCCATTTCCCTGGGCCTCTCCAGCACTCTGCTTACCCAGCCCAAGCCACAAGCAGAACTCAAGTTGATGTTCAAATAGGAACAATTCTACAAGCGATTCACCTAAAAATGATCAATCAGACAAAAAAGGCGGGGAGGGGAGCATGTTAACTAATTCAGGAGGGTATTTTTTTAAAAAGAAGTACATATTTGGTTACCCAAATTGCCTAACATCCACGTAAAGTGGTTTTTGTCTTGACAGTGACAGGAGCTCCAGCTCTCGCAGAGCTGGATCACACTCTTTACATGACACGATTGCACAATTATTTCCACTGGAAAGAGCTGGAAACAGAGGAGCATGCTGATTKTTTCAGTTCTCTCAGCTTGCAGCTCTAGTCAAGGATACATGGTTTTCCTCACATAGAAAACCTGAAAATGTGAAAACATTTATCAAGGKAAAGAAAAATGGGAATACTTACGGGGAATACCTGTAAGTAGATAATAAATGCGGGATTTCTTCATTCATTCTCATCTCACACAGGGTGAATTCTTGCCAATGAATTTCTACAATTAAATTCTTCCTTTAAATGTTTAGTTATAGTAGAAATTCAAGGAGAATGACACGTTCAGCATGTTCGGTTCTAAAAAGCCCGGTCTGAACTGCTCTATCACATAAGCACCAAGGGCTTAACCAGAGTCTGTCACTTGCTGTAGCCAAAATTGTTGCAATCTACCTTTTTTATGTACTTGAATCCTCAAATCTCCGCCTCAAAGATTCCCATACCACAAGGCGGCCATGAGCTCCCTGGTGAAGGTTATTTGCCTAAGCTAAAACCCAAGCGCACACGAGCAGTGATTCTTCACTGCCTATTCCCAGCACCCTCCAGAATAAGAAAACATTCCCTGACCAATTTCAGAGGAAAACAGAAATGCATTTCTATTAGTTTTGTTTTTTAAGTAGTATTACAAATACCAGAAGGAAAAGTATTTGGTTTGGACTTTTGAAATGTGAACTTTCGGCATCACTTTTGAGTCCAGGACCATGGTCCCTGCTGAAGGCTGGCGGCCGAGCGGTAACGCGATCGCTCTGCATCCTTCCCTCCTGAGGCCGCGGCTTCCATTTAACCACGGTCAGCTGCATTGAAAAGCTCTTATCTGATGGCAGCCGCTCCAAAGTTATTCTGGTGATTTCACAGTCCAATTCCCATAAAACCAGCTCTGGAGCATCAGCCGAGGGGTGGCAGGAGCCAGGCTGCCCTAACCTGCTCCGATGACGCAGGATTCACTGAAAGCCATGGTAACGCTCGCTGCATTTATCTGTTCCATATGGACATAAAGTAAGAGCGCGTACGCTCTGATAATGTGTTATCTCTCCAGGGAAAGGAATTCGCAGTGAACCTGTAATTCTTCAAAACGGAGCTGACAACGCGGACCAAGGACAGCTGCGTATTCCTGCACACTCTCTCCACTGTATTTCAACTTACACAATGAGCATTCTGAGAGAATTACAAGAAACTGTGACAGTTTTAACGACTAAGTTTTATCGTCCAAACTTTTAAAGATAATAACAGCAATCAAGTCCTGGCAGTTGCTCTCGCGGTAAGATAAGGAGCCCAGATGACCCGCGGTGTCGCCGGGAGGATGTGCAGCTTTTCTCCTGCCGGGAGCAGGGAGGAGAGCCCCCCACGCCAGATAACGCTCTGCGCCCGCATCGCTTACGGGAAGCATCCGAAGCAGGAGCCTCTCGACATGCGGCTGCTTTTTAAGGTGCATTTTTACGGCTGGGCTATGTCAGATTTARAACGACTAAGATCACACGAAGATGCGGGAAAAAGGCCAAAAACAGAATGCGTTTTCTACAAAGTAATTACGCATCGTAACTTAATTTTCAAGCTGAATTTGCTGATTTACCATCCRTTGCAATTGCCCTAAATATCATACATTACATGCTGGAGTGCGTAACCCAACGACGTGTTTCACACACAGAGGCCAGAGTACTTCCCAAAATTCACATTACCTGATACCGGACCATTGCACAGGGCACAGGTGTGGCATGCACAGCAGCCCACCGGCATGCAGGGCAGCCTTCCCTAAAATCCCAGGGGCTTTTTTAAAATCCCAGGGGCTTTTTTAAAATCCCAGGGGCTTTTTTAAAATCCCAGGGGCTTTTTTAAAATCCCAGGGGCTTTTTGGAAGGTGGAATCTCCTGCAAATCCGGCAGTCACGAGGCTGGCACAGAGCACCCAGCTCCCACCCCTTCCGCCAACGCTGCCCTCGCCTCCTTGCAGGGCAAGGTTGGGAGATGGAAGTGCCTCTCTTATCCCACCAAACAAGCCACCAACTACTATCGGAATTTTTATTATAGGAAATATAATAGGGAAATAACATTACTTTTCACCTGGCTTTATTAAAAGGCAGGTCAATCATATCTAGTCATGTAGCAAAGGGCGTAAAAATGACCTGCAACTTTCATTACTTTGCTTTTAATTAGACTGCCATTTACATATCACTAATGATTCGCTTTCTTTCACATCTTTGATTAAAAATTCTAAATAGCATTAACCAAATGTGGAAAAAAGCCGGAAAATGCAAGTTGGAAGGCTTACAATTACTCTCTGCAATATATCAATGAGATTATTTTGATTAAGTTTAACATTGGCCACAATCATTTGCTACAGGACTACATTTCTAAACAATCAGAACAGCATGTTGGCAGCATAAATAAAACATATTATCGGTCAAGCTCACAAAAATCCACTAATAGCTATTAACGCAATGCTGACTTACATGAAGCACGCTAACATCCTTGTGTTCTATATCAATTACCTCCTAAGCATTTTCCACAAACTGGACTTATTTACTGAATTAAAAGTGTACCCAACATAACAGTCTCTGCCTACCCGGGCCACATCACAATATAAAAGTAACTGATGCCAAAGAAAAGATTTGGCTTTTCTTTGCCACTTGCCAAAAAGTCCATTTGCCACTTGAACAGGATACCAGATGTGGACAAAAGAGGGGAAAAACGGGGTTCTGAAAGACCCAATGGTTACCAAGGGACTACTGAAGTTGGAGTCTCTGAATCAAATATCATCTTTGCACTTGACATCACCCAAAATCAAGCCGAGCCACCCTTATGTTCTCAAATACTGTAGCACGGTACAGCACAGCACAGAAAATAACACTGCAAACACTTTATAACGTTAAAGGAACATATTGGGATGCTAAAGGGAATATATTACCTGTTATTAAAAATAAAGGTGTGTTTATGTTTGAGCTAAACTAACTGGAAATGTGTGTATAGAAGGGATTCACTGCTCTCGCAGGCTGCAACATCATGCTGAAGTTAATGATGTAGGGCATAAAGCCTCACTTGGAATTGCTCCTTATTCCAGCGACAACTCGCACCTAAATTTGCTATTTATTTACCACATAAAATATGGTAATACGAAAATAAATTCAGCATATACAGGTCTAACATATAACTGCTCACAGAGAGAGGAACTCTCCCTGCTGCGTATTTCTAAGTGTGCTGAATTGAACCATGCAAAATGTGACCTTAAATCTGTCAAAACTTCATTAACTTACACCCCCACAGAGCTATAGAACTGTGAACTCCTCCTTTAAATTCCCCAAACAAAAAGCCACGAAACCCGAATGTGACTTCAGCTCTACCAAGTGTGGAAAAGTGAAAAGAATAATTTCCAAGCACGTTTTTATCAGCGGCGTAATTTCTTCGCATAACAAATAATAAACCATCTCGTCTGCTTTTCCTCAGAGTATAGAGGCTACAGCACAGCTTGGCGTGGTAACGTCTGTATCCCCTGCACAAACAGCTGGAGAAATATATGGAGCTCAAAAGAGGGCAGTTTATTATGCTGTATAATACAGACTGTCCCAAAATGCCCAGCTCTGGCTATGGTGGTTGCAATGAGCTACATAACTGGTGGCAACTCGGGGCTTAGTGTATTTAAACCTTCTGCATCTCCACAAGCAGAACTGGGTGCTCACCAGGTTAAGAGCATCCTGCCCAAACCCCTCTGGCAAAGGTTGGGTTTTTACCTGGAGCATCTCTCCCTGCCCTGGTCGGTGGCTGCAGGTTTATGTGACAAGTGCGGGCTCTGCAAAGCCCTCAGAGAAGGTGCTGGGTGCTGAAGAGGGAGGGTAATCAATGTAATTAAAACTTTATCTTCCAGCTATTACCATGGCTGAAAGGGATTCGAAGTTAATTGCTAGGAAATCGTAGCTTAAAATCAAGCTTTTTATCATGAGATCTGAATACAGCGCGATTATGTGAATTGTTGCACAGCAGTCCATGTTCACATCAGTGAGGTTTTGGGTTTCTATGTTTATATTTAATTTGATTTTTTAATTTAGGGACAAACACCTCAAAACAAATCACCAACCTGCCCTGAAAGCGCAACTCCAAATGAGCTGTGCGTGTGCACAATTAATCTCCAATTAATCAGCAATTGCTAATTGCCCTGGGCTGCCCGGCTCCCGCTCGCTGCTCTCCTGGTCTGCGTGGCCACATACGGACCTGTGGCTGCAGCCAGATGATAAATCCACACAGAATTATTTCATATACCTCCAGCACATTGTAGCAAAAAAAGGGGAAAAAATAAAAGAAACAGAAACCTATAGCCAAGCACTTCAGCTCCGTTCAGCGCTCTATGTTCTGTTACAGCTTGCAAAACGTTTTCAGTTAATTCAGACTAAAAATGGCAAAGAATGGCACATCTACACTGCTGCGAAAAACAGACCGGCTTTTGGTGAGCAACAAGTACAGTCAAATCGACGGAAGAGCTTCCAAAAGAAAGATTTTTCAAGAGCAGACAATTAAATCTGTTTATACAATAATTCATTATTTTGAGAAAGACTAAAGAAGCTCTTGGCCGATTTTTTTTTTTTCCGAACAGAATGTTATTTTTGGGTTCCCTCAACGTGAAGCCGCCGTTGCCGAGTGCAAAAGCTGGAGGAGCGGGTGGGACACGAGCGGGCCGGACTCGCTCCGGCCGCCCCACGCGCCTAAGGGTTATCTGGGACAATAATAAACTGGGAGTCACCCGGCATCTGGCTGGTGGGAAACTTTTTGTTGTGACATAACGGAGCCAAGAGGGAAGGGGAGCTCGGATGCGTTACGGTTTTATGTGACATAGTCCCTGCTAGGCTGATAAATGTAAATAGAGCTTTAGATGTCACCCGGTGGGTCACATTCTCCAGCCGCAGATTCCTGCCGGGATTAGCGGCGCTGCAAATGGAAGGGGAAGATAAAGGCTGCGGGACGTTGCGTTAAGGCAAATATATCCCGGGTGATTCTGCAGGGCTGGTTAGCCCAGCACATCGTGCAGGGAGCTGCAATCCTTGGGTAACATCCGCAGCCAGATCCGGGATCTCGGCTGCGACTCCACTGAAACAGCGGAGCCGATCCCTGCCGATCCCGTGGGATCGCTCCCATCTGCTGTGACGCTGCAAGCAATCAAACCCCGGTTATCAATTCTCCCTGACAGCAGGGATTTCGCTTTGATTCCTCCAGCAAGCAAAGACATTTGGGGGAAACGGCGAGTTTACATCACAACTGGCAGCAAGTTTTTTTTTCTTCTAAATACTGGCCAAACAGCGTCCCAACGTTTGGCTTTTGTTGCTAGGGGAACAAAACACTGCTCCTACCTTGCCCTGCAGGCTCGGGCGACGCTGCACAGAGAGGGATGGCAAAAAAGAAAGGAAAATAATTAAAAAAAAGCCCCTGCGACAGTGGCATAAGCCACCTTCCGTGCACAGAGGCCCAGAACAGCTGCAGGATTGCAATTCCCAGGAAAAAGTCCGAGGAAAAGAAAGCCGATATGGTGCCTTAGATGGAAGGGGATGTCAGCAGCTCGGTTTGTGTGAAGCACAATCAAAGGACGTGACAACTTCAAAAATAAAAAAGACATGAAGGGCATCAGAAATTATGCTAGGAGCAATCCCAGGCAGAACTTAACTAGGCCTGAATTATAAATCAAAAGCATGAGAAGCTTGTGAGTAAGTCTGGGTCACTAAAATTTAGATAATACAGCAGCACTTCCGCAAGTTACCTGAATTGCACTAAGAGGAGCTTATACAAACTTGCACAAAATTGCCACTTTAGCCTAAAGTCAAGAAAAAATCCCCAGCCAAAGTGGGATCTTGACAGGAGTCAAACAACTGATGCAAACACTGGTTTCAGTAACAGGAACGGGGCTGAACGGAGCTGCCTCATCCCGATTTGCGCAGATGGGAAAGGGGAGCTGCAACCCACAAGTCTCCGGTGGCTGTCACTTTTACTTGTGCTTTTCTACCCAAAACTCGAGCAAAACCAGGAGGACAGAGAGCTGTAAGAGAGCCAGACACGCCGAGTTCAATTTGCATCACGATAGGTTATAAATTTGTAAGAGAATGAGCTCTCCAGAACCATAACGGTTAAAGAAACCGGCACTCGGAGATAAAACTGGATAAAAATTTCACGAAATTATAACTAATTGCTAATTAAGCGTAGCCTTCAACACACTATGTTTTGAATTAAAACTGCATCAGCGGAGCTGTTAAGAAAAGAAGTGTTAATCCTGGCGAGGTGATGGCAGGAGGATGGAGAGCGGCTTTTGGGGCGCCCGTCACGGGTCCGGCCTCGGAATCGTTTCCTTCTGCTCCAGACGTGCCTGAAATCTGGAGGTTTCGGAACAAAACGCAGGAATTGCAAGTTTAAAGCTTTAGAAGTGGAGGGTCTGAAGGTTTCAATTTCTCTGCTGACACTATTCACCCCCACATTAAAAAGACATATATATATATATAGAGAGAAAGAGAGAGAGAGAGAGAGAGAGAGAGAGAGAGAGAGAGAGACAAAGAATTTAGGTTATAAAGAGATATAAAACTCTTAACGCGCCGACCACTCAATGCAGAACAGAGGATGAAAATACCTTGACTTCCCACATACCTCTTCATAGGGGAACAGGAGGCCAGTGATTTCTTTTTTTTTTTTTTAGAACTTAAAAGATTTAAATCCTAAAAGATTTTTAAAATTTAGTTTTTTTAGATTTTAAAGATTTAAAAACAGTGACAAATACCCAATCGTATCTCTAACCTTGGCTGTCATCTCCTAGCAAATGCTGACGAAAAAAGAATCCAARATAATAGAAGCTTCTTCTACTTCATTTAAAGAAATTATTACCACTGGCAAAGTTAACTGTCGCAGTAAACAGCTCAGTATGTTCCAATAGCGGCCAAAAATATAGGCGTCTCTAATCGTACGCTATAAGCCACATATCATCTTATGCCTCATGTCAGAAACGTTTTCAGACACTAGTTCTCGAGCGACACAATTACAAAAATGATGGATTTCTTTCATTAAAATGGACCCTCTTACTTGGTTATTTTTAAAGCCGTCATCTTCCCATCACGAGTGGCCAGGATGCTGGGGAGAAGCTGGGGGGAAAAATGCTTTTTTTTTTTTTTTCCCTAATTCCAAGTCATAAAATGCAAACTGACCCTGAGAGACTCCCCCTCGAAGCTGTGTACTTATGCTATGGTAAAGTACAATGATACTTTCCCAATTATGTAAATGAAATCTTGGTTCCCGAATTAATTTCCTTCTCTATTTATTTTTCTCAAATTGGAGGCAATAACCTGACATTTAAGATTCATACGAATTCCTAAGAGCATGAAGTGCCAGTGACATTTCAGATTGAGAAAACAAGTAAAATCATCTTTCTGGGAGTGATTTTCAAAAAGAAAAAAAAAAAGGAAGAAAAAATCTTAAGCTTCCTTACATTGAGCTATGCGGGGAGGCATGCGGTGCTTGGAGAAATTTCCACAAAGACACAAATACGGAGGCTAATAACCCAAAACGGGCAGCTTGGAGTCTAAGCCCRGGGAGAGCAGGGGCCGTTTTTGCCCCCTTTCGCTCCCAGATCAAATCACTCCAATGACATTAGGGAATGTGCACGCAAATAATCCTTAAAGTCGCCTTGTTTTCAGCGGGAAAAACACCCGGCAGCGGCGCCGAGTGCTTTTCCCCCCGGGGAATTAAACCTCAACCATATGTGCGCGTCGGGGCAAGTTTATTCTTCGAGAACAAACCCCCGCCGGGCTGGGGAGCCCGGCCGAGTTTGGTGCCCAGACGGCCCCGTCGCCGCCCGCTGCGGGTGCCTGGGGGTGACAAGGGGACACGGGGCCGCGTGTCCCACCCGGCCGTGGGGCTGGACCCATCTCTGGGTCTGCTCTGCTACCAGCTGAGCCCCGGGCAGCCCAAGCCCCCGGCTCGCGGCAGCGTTTCCATTCACGCTCAACCTTCCAAACACCGTTTGCATTTTTATAAATACATTTTTGAACAACTTTCAATTTTTTTTCTTTTTTTTTTCTGGGGAAAGGGGAGAAAAGGGAGAGGAATATGGAGTGTGAATTTGAAGCAGACTTCAATGAAAGCTCTGGACCCCAAACTATTGTTTTCTTAGAGCACACATCTGGTTTTCCCCAGCACGCTGCCAGTTTTGCAACGCAGTTTAATACCCAGCTGGGATAATGTAAAACTAGCATACAACCTAAAATAAATGCTAGGAGCACATTCTTCTGCTCCGTAATACTTGTATGCATTAAGTTCGACTTGACTAACATTTTACCCACATACCGAAAAGTTTGTCTCAATGAAGGGGGAAGGAGGAGGGGGAAATCGCGCCCAAAGCTGCTCGGTGCCTGTGTGTGGCCGCGCAACCGCAAGCTGCAACGTGAGCTCACGGGAGCAGCATAAAATCGCGCTTTTAAAGGTTAAAATTGCCTAGTTTTACAACCCAAACACAAGCTCTTAAAGCAAAGACATCTCAAATGAGGTTTTCTCGTAACGTGGGGAAGGAACTGAAATACCAGAGGTCTGCAGAACGTCCCGGCGCCCATGACCATCTTTTCCCTGACTAGCGTGGAACTTTCTTCTGCTCATTCTGCGGGAAATAGAAACATGCCCGGTAGCAAAACTGTAATTTTTAGGAAGGAAAACTGTAATTTTTATCACAGCGCACAGGGGAAACTGCTGAACAAAGGAAGGCAAATTTACAGAATTCTCTCGTATTAAAAAAAAAAAAAAAAAATCTTCTTTTGGCAACTTTGATGGCCAAAACATCAACCAGAAACCGTGCAGTGTGAAAACCAAAAACGTGGTAACGTTGTCCTCCAGGTCAGCACGACACAAGCACTGCAGCGAGCTGAATCTGAAAGCAAAAGCAGTGGAGAGGAATCACAATAAAAAGTATTATTTCTTCGGGTCCATTATCAATTGAACCATTTTAACTTAAAATATCCGATTTTTATTCGCACGATACCTTCACATCCTACAGCCTGGATTTGACTGTTCTCTATAAGAACACTGGCTGTTCTTATAGAGATGAATAGAGCCTTAAAATGGATTCAGTGTTTTAGAAAAGCAAAGCATTTGGACTTGATAAAATCTGGTCCTGATACAAATTACAGTACTTACAGACCAGATTTGCAGCTCTCACGTGGCTTCGGAGACTGCCTTGGGAATGCAAAATGCCAAGACGCTATTAATATAAAGATTCCATATAGCATGTGGTCATAAAAAGCTTTTCTTTTTTTCCCCCCCTCCGTATCTGATGCAGAATATGCTCCATTTTGGTGAAAAATTCAACACACTGGACTGAAGCAACGTGCTTAAGAGAAGCACCCTGGGTGACCCTGCTGCACGGGCCCTTCCTGCACCTTCCTTCCTTGCACCTACTCCAAGTAGCAAGGGCAGACGCGGGCCCTCCGTTCCCAGCTGCTAAGAGAGGTCTGGAAATATCCCCCCTTACATTTATAATTTCTTTCCCAAAGACACGGTGCTCTTTGCAACACATTCTCCTGCCGTATTCCAAAGCTTCCCTCCAGGAAAAACCTCCGGCTGTATTTTGCTATAATCCCTGCAGCCCRTAAAGTGCAAGGAAAGTGCACGGCGCTGGGGAAGTTGTCTCGTGACCCGCGGCGGCTCCAGGGCTGGTGTCTGGGGTTGCTTTTTGGGGTAAGAAGGGAGGCAGGGAGGTTCCCTAAACCTTTTATTTTTTTCCCCTGGAAAAGGCGGAAGGGGGGAACAGGCTCCCAAAAAGCAGCAGCGGCTGCAGGAGCCCCCCGGSGGGCTGTGCTTTTACTCGCCCCCGGACACACACACGGTGTTTTTCCCACAGTCGGAGTTAGGAATTGGACTGCACAAAGCACATTAAAAACACTGCRTAGTAAACGCACGGTAGAGCCGATAAGGAGCGAAGCGTCACTGGGAAAGATTTATTTTAAAATGCCTTCCACTGGCAACCARAGGCAGATGAAAAAAATCTGCCACAATTACCCCTCCTAGCACCGAAGATGGATCCGAAGTGGGAAATAAGTCTATACCCCCGATATCGGGGAAACCACTGTGCATAATACAGCAGGAGCAGCCCGGCTTGGAAAAGAGCAATAATAGTTAATAGCGAGCTTGCACGGGGCTCACGGGCACGGCAAATTGAGCTGCCCTATCTGGCACTTTGAGACAGCCCCTCTCTTGTTTCAGCCCTTTTTGCGGCCGCTTTCAGGCGTCCGTCCCCGCCGAAGCCCCCGCCGCGCCAAAGAGCCGCATTGTTCGGGCTGTGACCGCTCCGCTGCTGGGCACGGGCCCACGCCGGATTGTTTTTTGCTGAATATTGCATTAACACGCTCCAAAATGTCAAGAGGCAACGCCACGGAGAACACAAAATCCTTTTCGGTGAGCTAAAACGTTAACCATGAGTAACGCTCACAAGCAAAATACTGGAATTTGAACCTTTGAACCTCGCAAAGAAATACCAAGGGTTTCAGAGTCCGCTCCAGGGCTCGGCTCTCCYGGTGTCACCCTGCCGTGCCGCTCCGACCCAAGTGGCCGGTGACATCTGCCATGAGCTGCTCCCAGGCCTCTTCCAGGCTGTCCTTACAGTAAGGAGCCACTTTGAGGGTACGGGAACCCCKCACGGACCACTGTCCTCCCCGAAAGCACCACTCACACGTGAAGCATCAYGGTTATATATGGTTAATATGGAGTTATATACATTTGCATTTAATTAAGAGTATATATTGTCATGCTTATTTATATTATGACTGGTAAACRTGGCTTCTCCAGACAGAGTAACAAGTGCTTGAGCTTCACTAAGGCACAAATAAAACCRGAAAAATTCCGTGATCTTGGAAAAMCTGCGTGTGCAGCATCTTCCCCCACGCAACGAGAAAATACTGAGCGAACACAACTAAAATCAGGGCACAGAATGAATCCAGAAGCGCCTATTCCTRGAGTATCTCACTGCTCCTACACTTAATTTTTTTTAAAGTCTCTTAAGAGTAAGGATCCAAAAAGAGACAGAAATTCCACTCAAGAGTTGAGGAGGGAAATTGGGAAGTTCAGTGCTGTCCAAGTCCATTTGCTTCACCAGGGGCTACCTGCAGAATGAAAATTATGGTGGAATATTGAGAGCATTCGGGAAAAACACAATAGCAAGAGCGGCTGCCAAGCCCTGCTGTTACTGCAGCTACTCGCAAACCTGGGCCCAAATGCATTACGGTGCATTAAGTAGAGGGCACCGCAGATAAGATTTATCTCTCGATAAATCGTGCAGAAAACTTGCAGACATCGGGCTCATGAAATATTAGACTCGAAGACAATTTAGCAGCGGAGAAAACTCCGAGCTGCTTTTGTTGTGCCAGATCTTATAAAAGCTTGAAACAGAGGGCAAGAGGCCTGAGCTGAGAAGCCGTTTGGAGGAGCTCAAACCCGAGAAGCTGCAGTTGCTTTGGCTGAGTGCGGCATCCAGGGGAGCATTTTATAGATACACGGGCAAAACTCCTAATTTTACAAATTAAAATTAGGGAGGCAAGCGACAATTCCGTCACGTTGACTGTGGCTGGAAACAGCGGTTCATTTGAACGGGATGAACCAGAACTGCCCGGTGTTCCCGCTGAGCTCATTCGCAGCACCCAGCAGCGCACGGAGCCGCTCCGGGAAGCCACGGGCTCCAYGACGCCTCCGCTTGGACAGAAAAGGCTCAGGAGGAGGATGGTTTTGCTTCAGGATTTCATTAGATAAAATCTATCCTAGAGCAGAGAAGTACAAAGGCAGCAAAAGGAGGAACACGCTGCTCATGGAGACACTGCAGAGCTTTTACTCACTCGTAACAAAAGTGAATGGCCCTGCAATTACTGTAATAGGGTATCGGTTCTACCGGTCGTCTATGACTAATGCTGCTAAAAGCACCAGATTAACAATTTTTTCTTTTTGGATCAGACAGCTTCTCTTGACTTTAAAAGTCCTGCTTTCAGTTCCTGCAGCAGCACTACTGCCCACGAAGCTTTCATTTTTATGTAAAAAAAACAAGAATTTAAAACGATTTTTTTTTAATGGCTAGGTTGCTACTTTGGGGATTTATGGGGCGGCATCACTACCGAAAATGCACACGGATTTTGAAATATCTGGCTAACGAGGGAATAATTGCAGGCTAAGGCGATGACCTAAGCCACTGGTATCCCAGGTAAATAGGAACTGCCCAGATACAAAATGTTCTCGGCAAAGTGGCCAAGGCTGCGGAAAGCGGCTGGGCCGGGCCAGAAGCGCAGGGTTTCGGGAATGCGGTGCCGAGGACGGACTCGYCGGAGGGTCCTGGGGGACGGGCGAGCGCAGCGGCGCTCAGCGGCTGCGCCAGATTTATGGYGCAATGAATCCACCTGCATTTTTCCAGGCAAAACACGGTGCTTTTGAAATTTAACCGCACACCTAAATTCTGAACACCATTCGYGCTCCTCCTGAAATGTTTAGGATACTCCCAGCAAAGCAAGGAATTTGCTGGTCTCACAAGCAATTATTAGAGCAAAAACAACTAAACACCAAGCAAATAAAGCGAGATCAGTGCAAAGCCCTAGCCAAGTTTTCTCAAGGACACATCAGGAAACCTGAATCCCAACTTGGGCACCTGGGGGCTGCCGGGTCCTTGTGCAGCTCCAGGTGGGTCCCTGGTTCTCGCACCCTTTTTCCAAACCAGGATTATCTTCCCCAGTATCTAACTAACAGTTGCCAAGTATTTTTACAGACTTGGGCATTTTATTGCTCCATGTTGTTTTATTGTGATCATAACCTTTTTCATTAGCTTGTAAATTAATGATGTGAAAAAGTGAGGGGGGAAAAAGAAAAGAAGGCGAGGATGAAGGTACTCCAAAACTGCCATGAATGCTTTTAAATAACGTTTTGGGAGCAAGTATTTATTTTATCTGAAAACAAATGGCTATGAAAGTTGCTCTGCTTTTTAAGCACAGCTGTGGGCATCTGCTAGATGAATGGAACATTCTGCAGCTCCCAAGCAAGACACAAGGATTTCTGGTTCAGCGACGAAGATTAAAACCAAACTCATCAAAAGACACAAGCAGCTTTGGGCAATTTCAGCTAACATCTTTGAAGGSATGTAAAGAAGCGGTGATTTAAACTCCAGCTACAGTAATCTATGAACTAGTGCTAAAGTCTTTGGACTTTTTCCTCTATAAGGCTTGAGTTTGCTGTATGGGGTACCTTCGCTAGGTGCAAAAAGAGAGAGAAAAATAGAACATAAAATATAATAATAAAATATAAAAGTAGCTTAAAAAATAAAATCAAGAGATGGATTTCACACAACATGCTATAATACATTAGCAACCGATGATGCACGCTCTTAAAAAGAGTCCTATATCAAGCTCKAAGACTACCATAATGTAAAAAATATGTAACCTGAAGGTTGAACAGCAGCCTTGCAGTTTTCCTTGGGTTTTATGCCTTTGTCCCTTTTAGATTTTCCTGAAAATCCTGACTATTATGAATTAGCTACTGTATATCTCACATACGCACAGACCATTTATAATAAACAAGGCACTTCAGTTTGTCAGTCAACTTAAAAGCTTCCCCAAACTGTTGCACTAGCAACATAAACACATTTATCTGAAGAAATCAAAGGCATCCAAGTTGCGAGGGGGGAGGATCCCATATGCCAAAGCCCGTGTRTGTTAAGGAGCAGCACAAGGAACATCCCCAGTTCCAAGGCATTGGAGCAGAGCTGGATGCACCGAGCACTGCTCTGCATCATGTAGCAGGTGACCGTGCAAATCTACTGACTTTGAGATAAGCAGTTAAAAGCCAGCGTGGTCAGGGGCCAGGAGACCTTGACAAAGTTTTCCTATATCAGTCTGCGCACAGTAAAATGTGGTTTGCTAATTGTCCACAGAGGAAGAAAAATTGGACGAGTTTTCTGTTATTACTCATAAGCTCCTCTGCAAGGAAGAAGCAGTAGTGCTGAGAGGCGGCCGCAGACAAAGCAGAAAGGAATTAAGCCTTTTCCCTCCAAAAGCAAGAAAACTTCTTTGGCTTCACCCTTGGCTATCCATGAAGCCAAGGAACTTTTGTACCCCATTAGTGGTCAGACGGATAAAAACWGGACAAAATCTATTATGAATCACAGCAAAGGCCTGAAAATTCWGAGGAGAAGCCCTGGATTTGTTAAGTTCTTATCTTAGTTCTCTACTGAGTGGGTCTCTCGGGCAAGACTGTGCTGCCACCTCTTTACCTGTGTAAGGACGTTCATCATTCCTGCCTTGCAGGGACGCTCTGAGGACCCACGATGGCTGGAGAGGTGCAAACAGGCTGCAGTCAGAGCTGCGGATGCTCTGCACACCTCTGGTAGCGACTCTCCTGTTGCAGCTGCACTTAAACATTTATTTCCCATTTGAAGTGGGTTTTTATCCCCTTCTACCTGTACGTAACCAACCAGAACAGAAAATTTTGCACCGGATGAGCTTTTCTATTGTGCAAGAGGAGCTTTTTCTGACCGTTTGTGAAGTCGCTCCTATTGGAAAGACATTCTGATAGTCAAAGAACATGGGGAAGAGGTTTGAATTCAAAGACATCATCTTCATTAACATACGCATTTCTGAAACGCTAACAAAAGGAGTGAACAGAACACAGGGGATCTGTGACCAACCCCTCCAGGTTATTTCCTGAGGATTGCTAAAAATCAAAAGACGCAGGAACAACAAATGTCATTAGCAAGATATACTGCAATTACGGCATTAATTCATATCCTGTGGCTTTAAATCATATCTCATCACAATAAAATAGTTCTGACTTTATATTGGCAGTATTATTTTCCTTACGCTGCATCTCAGCSGTGATTTGCTGTTCTGTTAATGAGGAAGGTTTTGCAAGAAGCATGTGCTCTGATGGAAAGTAAATTCTGCTTTCTGCTGAAAACAGATGAATCTCGAGATTAAAACAAACCAACTCAAAGTTTCTGTAAGCAGAATAACCCAAAGTTAATGCATACATACATATAAGGCTAATGCCTATGTATATATCTACGACAGAAGTTTCTCTAGTATTTGAGAGGCTCTTCCTTGTACCCATTATATTCCTGGAGTATTACATATTACGTTAGTGTTGGCACACAGTGATGTTTTCAAAAGGTTCCTTCTAAAAAGTTCCTTAAAAAGTGCATCTTCTCACTTTGGTGTACTTAAGAAGTCCATAGGAAGACTCCATGCTCTCAAAAGCAAAAGATCAATTTTGTTTGTTTAATTTTTGCTTAATTCAGCATAGGCTGAAGCCTAAAGCCTGACCCTTATCCTTCCCACCTTCCTCACAGCACCTGCCCTGTTTGGTTTYCTCTTTTCTCTCCTTTTCCTGCAGTTTGCCAGAGTCTCCATCCTATTTTTTCCACCTCATCTCCCCGAGAGCAAGTATATCAAGGCTTATATAAAGCATTTGTTCCAGCCAACACCCAGTTCTTGTGTTTTACAGCATTGTGTGTGTAAAAAACTTTGCAAGAACAAAAGGGGTTTATCTCATGCTTAATTCAGTGATTTYATCTCTTTGACATTATTTTCCTTTTTATAGGTGACTTACAAGAAGAGCAAATAGAAGGCAGAAATCCAAAGATGCTCTTTTCGTGACAATAAAACCATCTCCTCTCCCCTTTCCCTTGACTCTCCCAGCCCCGGGAGTACTGTTTAGCATAGCTTCAACCTATGAAAAATTAGTAACAAATGGTTATATTTGTCATAGGGTGAAAATATTTCCAATATTCCTTTTTTTTTTTTTTTTGTATATGGCATATGTATATATATGCATATATGCACATATTTCACTAGCTTGGCCAATTAGGAAAAATAGTTCAATATGCTCTTAATTTCTGTTTAAAAAAAAAAAAAAAGAATTTTTTTTTTTCAAATCCTCATGTTGTCAGACATGCACATTTTGCCAATTTGAACCAGTTTCTACCTCCTCCCAAAACCCARGGGGCACTTCACACATATTTCATTTCTGGACTCGGAATCCTGAGAGGAAATACAAGGGACTGCAGGAGAGTTTTCACATACGATTTGGGAACGCTTACCCTTGAAGCTGATAAGACGGGGAAAAACGCAGCCAGGAGTGTTAATGCTGCAGGATTTTGTCAACTGCAGAGGAAAACTAAAAAGGTAATCCGCTTCCAAGCGCCTGGAAATTAAGATTCATGCTGAAGTACGGTAAAAGTTTCAATGAAACACAACACAGGAATATCTATCTTCATAAAAGGCAACCTTGAGCTGACATTGACGCASAGGGACAAACTGCAACCAAATGCTGGACTCAGCTGCTAGCAACTACTGAGGCTACAAAAGGAGAAAGCACCGATGAATTAAAATAATGAGATTTTTGTAGCTGGAGCCGAMAACATCAAGGTCTGGTCCAGGTCCTGTCAAATCAATGCCAGAATTCCCACTGGCTTGAAATGCAATAGCATGAAGCAAAAGCATGGAGAGCACAAATAGCCCAGCTTCACAGATTTGTTTACTCCCAAATTAAGTTGAACGGAGAACATGAGTAAGAGGACACATGAGCTGGGACCCCTGCGAGAAGCTGGGCAAAGCCAGGCTGCCCTCCCCGAAACTGTGGTAACATCATGCAGCCTCTGCAGCGAAGGCAAACACAGGGATTTGTATCCCGTCCAAGCCCACAACAACTTTTGCTGGAATATAACGATATATTCTGCTTTGCTACCTCTGCTCTTTGCTTCCACATTCCCTGTCTTGAAGTGATATGGTTAGCAAAGCTACAGCCACAGATAATTTTTTATATATATATACACACACACACACACACACACACATATACTCATGCTGTGCATGTGCACATGCACTCATATAATAATAGACCTCTTATCCTATAGAGAAGCCTGGCCTGCTTACGGAAAAGTAAACACTTGATGCCTGTCTATCTCAGGAGATAAAAGAATTAGAAAGGTCCAAGTGAATGAGCTAAATCACATCAAATCCCTCACCAGACGCTCATTCATATTTCAAATGACTTTCACTAAATGCACTCTAATTAGACTCAAAAAAAGTATTAAGATATGAATTTGATCCACTTGAGTTCTGTAAAGCAGTGTCCACCCAGGGTTTTACCATGGTTTAAAACAACGCACCGAACATTCCCCTTTGGTAGGTTTAGATAAGGCTCCCTCTGAAAGACGAGCTCAGCAGCACTATCAGTTACCATCCTACACGAATCTGCAATTCTCGGYTTATTCTTTTAAAACACATTAATGTGTTCACACCTCAAACACACATTTGCACAACACTCAGCCGTGGCTGCTCTGGACTTCTCGCTCCTGAGCTTTGTTCAGTACTTAGTGTGGGGTCTGTGGATGCAACGAGCTGCCTTCATCAACAGCAGCCTTCGTTAAACCCACGGCCTCCACTGCACACTCTCGTTCTTGTTCAGTCTTCCCAGACAGCAAAGGAGACTCGTAAAAATGACCTAGGAAATGTGTTTTCCAGGGGAGCCTCCTTTTTCCTCAGCAGCACTCCGGCATCTAATTAATGTTCACAAGAACACTTACAGTCTTGATGAGACCCTCTTTAATTGACTGCTGAGATGGGCCAGGTCCTCTGCAGCCACGAAACCACAAGCAACCAGCCCGCTGCTCCATAAATCACGGCACAAGTGCAGAAATTGCTCCTTATTTGACAACGTGCAATAACACAACATTAACATACAGCTCCCCGACCTCTATTTACGAGCGTTTAAAGCCTAATACATCCTTTTAAGTGTTAAGAGCAGAGAAAGCCAGGAGCACTTTATGTCTCGCGAATGAGTGTAAGATATAAGTACACTTTGTGAACGCTACTCACGTTTTCCATTTATCAACTTACAGCCCCTCTTGAAATGCTGCCAAAACAACATTTAAAATAAGCCTTGCTCGCTAGCAGCCTCCTGCAGTGCGTATTCCAACAGATCTATCAGGCATGTCTACACATTTTCAACAGTTTGAGAAACTACGGAAAATTAATTAACAAATAGAGTCGTTAAATGTTTAAGCTTTCCGCTTCTCCAAGGAAGCTGATGGCTGTCCCCGATTAAGAGTTATTTTCTCGGATATTCCTGGGCTTTGCTTCTCGTTCCAAGTACTTGTAGCTAACGGCACCAAGAAATCCCTGTATGAAAAACTTCAAAAGAAAAAAATATCATTTAAATAAATTTTGGTTTCATGTAAATACATTAAGTCGGACGGCAATTGGAAGAAACCCTACTATGATTTCCAAGGCACCAGCCTAGGCAGGCACATCAAACCCCTTGCTTATAGAGTCAGATACAAGGCAAAAAAAAACAGGAGCAAGTTCTGCATTGACTTTGACAGTGACGTCGTAAAGAATTTGGTTCTGCTGGGGGAAAAGGCGAGCGAAGCCTTCGGAGCCRGGGTGCAGAGGCCGGGCCGCAGCGCTCGCCTCTCGCGGCCACATCACCCTTCGCTTTGCACCTCGCTCTCGTTTCCAAGAGAAACTTCCCATCGAGTGGCTAATAATTTTTCTAAGGGAGAGAGAACAGCATAATTTTAAATTTTGAAGGGATCTGACGRTGAAATATGATAAGGGAAATTCGCTGCACGCGGGACAGCCCGCGGAGGCCGGAGGGTGTTTGTCCGGCTCGCTCGGGCCCCGGCCTCTTTTGGCCGCCCTTCACCTCTGCCAGACTGGCGACTGATGTGCGCTTGTTTTCCGAGCCTCTACTAGAGTGTTTCTTGGAACTAATAAACACCAAACCCGCTTTCGTGACTCTGTAGGGCTTAAATTTTATTTTCTCCTGATTCTGATAGGGATGGGTTYCCCATAAGGGATTAATTCCCTGAGTTACCTAGGCTCTCCAGGATTTCTGGTTCTGCTTTAGCCTACATTTTTGCCTGATAGGAACATTTTCATTGGAAGGGACRTTACAGAGCGTGCCATTATGTTAGCATTATTTTGCTTTATGTGACCAGCTATTCCTGATTGTGGAATACTTCTGGAAACTGCAACACAAAAAGGCACCTTTGCTATTAAAAATAACGCCTACAAACTAACAAGTTAAATGTTCCCATTTCTCCCAGCCTCTTCCCAACTGGGTTTTCAAAAGAATCCCTTCATGAAAAGATTAAAGTCATTAAAATTTCCCTTTCTTTTTGGTAAGCAAATGTTAAAGAACACAAGGTTAAAGTTGAAAGATGCCACTGCTATTGTTGGCCAGCTATTGGGGACTTGTCTGAAAATATATATGGAGATGTCTCCCTGCAAAAATGTTTTTTCTCTTGGATAACAGTAACAGGGATTTGTTTGGCAAGTGGTTTCACAGAGAAAAGCCTTATATATGAGATTTTTTGCATAAAAAAGATATAAATTGAAAACAGAGAAAACACTATACAAGCCTATAGGCAAAAAAATAAAAAATGTAAAAACAGAAAATGAAAAAATCATGTCTTGGATGTATTAAAATCTCTATAGYTCCCATGTAACCTTTTTTTTTTAAACCAAGTACCTTTGAGAAGATCCATGGACTTGAGCTTCTTCAAAGCCTGAACCCAGTGGCTTTGGKCATGCTCCAAAGCTCATCTTTTCATTTATTGCCAAGTTTTAAATTGTCAATTCAGTGGACCAGACAGTCACACCATGCCAAAAAAATCCTTTAGCACCCTGCTACTGTTATTTTGCCCTTCTAAATACATCTGTATCAAAGGACCTCCAAATCAGTGCAGACATTAATGGGGTCTGAAAACCCGGGCACAAAAACAAGACAGTTTGGGTTCATTTTCTGTCGGATTTCTGCTGATTTCTGCTTGATTTCGCAAATCAAGGGGTACCAAATGTCCCTACCCAAATTCAGGAGGCCCTGGGTGTCTCGKTTTCACCCCCTGGGTCCTGCAGTTGATGTGTTACTTGTTTAAGAATGTTTAATATATCTGTAGAAATGCTGCACTATGGAAGCAGATGTATCCWATCCGCCTCAAGTGATTTTACAAAATGAATTTAACTCCTCTGGAGAATTTTGAGTGATTTTTCTCCCCCAAAAAAGTGAAAGGCCAGAAATAGGAAATGTATATACAAGTTAATAACAGCAGACCACATGTGTAAACAAGCAGTAAGGGGGCAAAACAGTACTAGCTTCATCTGTTCTCATATTTACTGGCAAAAAAGTGCTCACCACAATATAAGTAGCTCACCACAATAGTTGTATTTGAATTATACACTATGTTTACAGGCTTTTCTCTTCAGCTGTGCCTTAATAATTGCAAAGGATATTACTTCTGTAGAGAAYGGCAGCTAGTCAGCACAGTAGTGAAAGGGTCAATCTTAGCCATGGTCTCCGCATGAAGTCCTCATCTAATGAAAAATACTGTGGGATTTTAATTGATGGGCTTTTTTTTTTTGATTAAATCTTCCATTCAAAGAGGTTGATATGTTGACAGTAAAATGTGCAAGTCTGGGAACCTGTGTCCTGTGTTTGATCAGAAAGGGATGAGGTGACAGAACAGCCTGATGAGCACATGGAAACCTGCAGCAGAAATGTATGCAAGAGAACCCAAAGCAACAGGTCACATTCGAGTCACTACAACTAACATCAGTTAGAAGAAATTATGCAGAATCCAAACTTTTTGTACATATTAAGTGGACTTAAAAATAATCTACAAACATTGAGAAAAAAAGAAATGCGGATAGACAGAGGTGGCAGCGTTAAGCTAAAAACATGGGAAAGGCACAGAAGACAAGTTAAAGTCATTATTTAAAATAGTGTTTCAATAGTGTTACCTTAAGAATAAAACAAAAAAGAAATTACAGAAGGTGACCCAGAGAAAAGCAGTAGAAATTCCTAGAAACCTAAAAACTCATAGAGAAAAGCGGGGAAAAAATTAAGATGCTTCCCAGCTTTGTTTTCTTTTTCTTTTTTTTTTTTTTTTAAAGCATTTTAATTAACTTTCAAATGTAAAATTGTCAATTATTTTGGCACTTGTAGTGCATATCCATGCAGTGACATTGGATCCAGATGCTGCAGATTAAGCAGCATCGCGCAGAGCTGAGAGRTGCAGATTTAAGTCCTTAAGCTCAGCTTTGGGCTCCTGGATGCCGGCATTAAGCCGCGGCGCCCTGCTGTGCAAACAGCGCTCGAGCCGCTGGCTGTGACACCTGAGCAGAGCAGGGTGAGCTGAGGACAAAGACAAGAGCAAAACACGGTTCAGAGAAGGAAAAAAGCGTGGAATATTCTTAATAAAACTTAAAAGTCGAGACCACACACACCGTGTAACTGCTGCAGCTGAAAGTTGTGTGCGACAAGACAGAGACTGATCCTATCAAACACTGCCTATTCACGTGCAGTGTAGGCAAAGGGAACTAAAAGCTCTATTTTTCTCAATCTTGGTCAATATTGAGACTTTGGGATTTTTTTATTTCCTTTTTTTTAAAGCCTAACAGAAGAATTTGCTGCACCCTCAACAAAAACCTGGTGGAGCGAGTTGTCCGCTACCTTCCCATAAAAGACAGTTATTATATAGCACAAAAAGTATGGAAATTCTTACCAATTTCCCGCTCTTCACTGTCTCATGGTATGATGCAGAATCTAAAAGAAGCGTCAGGAAGAATTCCTCACGCCCTGACATTCCTACTGAAACGTGAGCACTCGCTTCCTGGTAACTCGCTATCTGCTAGCTCAAATATTCAGCATCTTCCTTCCAAATATATATTCCTTAATACTTTCCTGAACGGACTTAAACATTGTCAATGAGATAAAGCAGACACAGCTGGAAACACAGCCCAGACAAAGAAAATAAATACATTATATACTCGTATTTTTGGCATAACTCTCATTTTAATAGCGCTCTACCTGACAGGTATAGGAGGAAAGGTTTTTTTATAATAACACTCTACCTAGAAGAGATTAAAACTAGAATTTTTCCATCTGCAGTAAACTTAATAAACAACTACCATCATCTTATTCTTTCCATATCCTTTATGTCTTTTTTTTTTATTTCAAAAATAGCCATATAATTGTTTTTGAAAACATGCAAATATCATCTTCTACAAAGGGCAGTATCAGATAAAATTATCACGTCAGCTAATGAAAAGCTATTTCCTCCTCTCTATCAGTATTAGTAAGGTCTAAAAGAAACGCAGAATATAATAAAAAAAAAGAAATCTGATTTTCTTTTAACACATCTGTTTCACATCAAGAACAACTTTTTTCCTTTAGCCTAGCTATATCAGTAAAACCAGTGGTAGTAAATTAGACAGTATTTTTATGTAAACCCATATATATATATATATCTCAGTAATACATGAAAATCCAACCTCCACCCATATAGGTTTAAAGGATTTTATGCAATATATTAATAAATAGTAAAAGAGCACCATAAAGCACATTCAATAGGATATTTTCGTAGCACCTCCCTTAATGCATTGTGTTCTGGACAGCTTTTAGAGCATTCTTCGGAGTAAGAAAAATGCGTATTATCAATGAGAAACGTTGTCCAGGGAATAAGTTACATAAGGGAAYGGAAAAATATTTGATAAACATTATTGCAGGTGTATTCTAGAATTTCTTCCTGGAAAAAAAAAACCATGCAATCCTTTCTTTCCTTTGGCAGGAACGTGTTAAAGCTTTATAGAAAGGCAGTTTTGGTAGCACTGCAAGGACCTTAACAAGTCTGCCCTTTCTTTATTTAGGCAGGTAATGCCGGATATTTTTCCAATGAAATTAATTATTAACATTCTAATATAAGAAGCCTTTTTTCCCCCAGGTTCTGCAGCAAAGAGCAGGGAACAGACAGCTGAATATGCACACCTGATGGGTCTCCAAGGGGCTGCCCAACACATGGCCAAGGAACCCCCTCCAGCTCAGGGTGGARGGTGCAGGCGCTGCCACCACGACTGGCCGCTCTGGTGGACACAAACTCTTGGGCTCTCAAGAAAAGAGCATCTCTACCCCAGTTTTCCGTGCACGGTGGCACACGTTGGGCTGGCTGAGCTTTACAGATGCTGCTTTCTGCTCTCGTGCATTCTAACAGCTGACAGAAAAGCCTCCCCTAATTAAGGGATTAACTTAGAAAGTCACTAAATGACTTTTCATCACGTTGCTTGCTTAGGCTCCAAAGCACACAGAGCCTTGCCAACAGGAGGCACCCAAAAGGCCTTCTAGGTCGTAAACCACCCTGGCAGCCCTAGAGCTGCACATGTGGAGGGCTCCTGGCTGGTAAATCACAGAATCACAGGACGGTTGAGGTTGGAAGGGACCCCTACAGATCACCTAGTCCAACCCCTTGCTCCAGCAGGGACACCCAGAACACGGGACATCCGGTCGCATTCAGGTAGGTTGGGAAGATTTAAAGAGAAGGAGACTCTTGGGCAGCCTGTCCCAAGGCTCTGTCACCCTCACAGGGAAGTTGTTCTTCCTCACATGGAGATGGAGCTGCCTGGGGTTCAACTTACCCCATTGCTTCTTGTCCTGTCACTGGCCACCACTGAGAAGAGTTTGGCCCCTTCMTCCCTACATTCACCCTTCAGATATTTATACACACTGATCAGATCCCCTCTCAACCTTCTCTTCTTCAGGCTAAACAGGTCCAACATGTTCTCACATGTTGTGGAACCTAGCTTATTATTTGCAATTGCTACTAAAATCCAAGGTAGACCCAAGACCTCGGCGTGAATGGTAGATGACACTGAAAGCGTAACTGGTACCAACGTACATGACTTGGGGTGGACCTATGCTTTCCTCTTGAAAAGCAACTGAGGATACACTCAACAACAAAAACCCAACTCTTCTAAATGCCCAAGATTACTTAAAGACCCTTTTCCAGAAGTATAACCTGCTGAACCTGGCATGCAACCAAGTCCATTATGGACCMGACGCTGCTCGGAGTCTGGTCAACAACTCGGAGTACTGGGATGGGAGCTGGAACAAGCTTGGATCGTCTGAACTTCCTAACCCTGATTGGGATGTGTAGGTTTTGCTTGCTCTGTTTGGTCTATGTCACCGGATGCTTTCCTTGGCATCGATACGGGCGAGGGTTTTGCAGTCAACAAGACAAGTCCTAAAGCCTGAGTTTCGTTTTTCAACTGTAAAGCACAGAACAATCATTCTGATGTTAAGGAGAAGAGCTGTGACTGAAGCTTGGCAGGGTTATTAAATTCTAAATCATAAGAACCTAATAAAAGACAAAAACAGTCTTATAAATATATATAATTTATCCTTATTACATTCTACTTATTATGGCAGAAAGTATGAAGCATGGAAAATTACACTAAAGTCATCAAGCTTAGCATATTATATGTGAAAGGCCATTTTTCACATTCTGGAAACAGATAAACAGAAAGGATTCTAAATAAATCCTTTGAAGCTCCTAGTCCAAGACAAACATGATTATTATGATTGTAGAAGATTTCTGCAGGGCGTTTGTCGGGTACCCTAATTGTTTCATGTGGTGGAAATAACCCCTCTGTTGATGGGAYAGCAGCTGTAGCTAAAAGCTACAGCACATCTGGTTATTTTACACATACGAAAAAATGACTTCTTGTTCTGGCATTCAACGTGCACTAAAAAATTTGTGAAACAAAGTATTTTCGCTGTAAAAATATTTTCACAATATTCATGCTGGAGCTTTAAGTTATGCCATAGTCTTTACACTGGCAATTAATGGGTTTCACTGGCCCGAACTGCTACTGCACCCTGCAGAATTAGGGAGTTTGCTGGGTTTCCTTCTGTGCCAGCAGCTACATGAGAGATTTTAAGGGTTTTTGTGACCTATACTTTACACAAGAGTATTGGGGCACTCTTTTTAGTTATGAGCTACTATTTGCATTGTCAAAATGAATTTGAATACACACAAGAATGYTGTTTTACCACTTGGTCGGAAGGCTCCTGTAATGGGGAAATTTGCCCTAAATCTACAGTGAAATTTGAACRATGGCCAATTTTTGCCCCCTTAAGAGGGGGCAAAAGCCTCCTAGTGACTTGTAACTATTTTAAGGCTCTTCTTTTTTGAAACCTGAAATATGTTTTACTCAATGTTGAATAATGTTTCCTAGAGATATCTCTTACCAGTAGCTCCTATTTGACTTCTCCTCCCTAAGGCTCCACATTCCCAGACAGCACTCCATGTCATTACAGCTGAACAATAAACTTTTGCTTCAAAAATTAAGAATTCACTTTGACATAAAATGAAGCATGTTATTTGATTTCTCACACGTCCCTCTTTTTATAAKACCTTTGAAGAAAATGCTCTCTCACAGTGAAAATTTTCACAACGAAAAGATAAACTATGTTTTAAGCAAATTCTATTTTCCTTTTTCTACAATTGATAGACTTGATTGGAATTAAAAAAAATCAATTTGATGCTTTCTGAAATACCATTTTTCCAAATATTCTATTATTTGCAGAAGACATTTCTCCCAATCCAATCTGCACTCTTACTTGGATCCATCAAACTCATTTTTGGAAGATTGGGACTCCCCACTTTACACCCCAGCACCATAAAGGGCAAGGCATCACTTGCCCAATAAAGTTCCTTTAAACTATAACACATAATCCAGACCTCTATCCAGCTTCCACATGCTTTTCCAGCCTCCTCTTCTCATAAAACTGAGGCAGGTTTTCCAAGACTGAAGAAATATCCTTCCCAACTTCTCTCTTTCCTGCTTTTACATCCTTTTCACCAGCTATCAGGCCAAGATTAAACTATATAAATATATGTCTTGTGTTGTAAGCAAATGTCATTTTGAACATACAAATGTTCAACAGATTGGCTCTTAGCATGCAGGCAAACAGACCAATCTCTTTCGCAACGTTACTAGGGATTTACAAGCCTAATTTAGGGTCCTCTTTTTTAAGTCTTAAGGGCTAAAAAGATTTATATAGCTCAAAGCAAAYTCAATTCATACATAATGCAAAGCTGTTTAAAACAATCTAACAAATTGCTGCAGCGCTCCAAAAGTACTCCAAACAAACTCCATAAGCTCCACAAAGGCAAAACATCTGAAGGGCTGATCTATGGGCAGGGGATGTGTTTCTAAAGGATTCTTAAATTGCCCCGTTACACACTTGGGGCCGAGCACGTGCCTCTAGGAAAAAGCAGTTTTATTTCATGCTGCTCGATCCTGTTTTCTAATAATCTCAAGGTGTGCCTAGGTGTGCGGCTGAGCAGAGCCCTGCTGCATGTTATAACATGCACCTCGCAGGGCTTTTAATATAAAGGAGAGAAATAAAACAACAAGGAAGCCACGGTAAGGCAGAGAGCAACAAGCTTAGCCTTGTCCTCTCACTTCCACGCTCCCAACCTGATTTATATCCTGCAAAAACGTGCACGAGGCCAGGCTGGCTGCCTTGGCCTTTCCTTGCGAATCACCTTCACGGTGAACTTCTTGCTCTTAGCCTTCTCATAACCTTGAAATCCAATCATGATAAAATTCCAGAAATATCATGGAGACCACAAGGGCACTTAACTGAAGTGTATTGTTAAAGTTATGACATTTAGAATCAGGCCTGTAGTTTGCTGGACACAGTCTCTAATATAATAAAAATAGCCTTTTCTTTCCCACATTTCACTATCTGTCTTTGTTTATTCAACCATTCAGCAAACCCAGCTGGATCACAGACATTGTCATCAAAGAAACATTCTAGGTCAGCCAGAAGTGGATGCCAATTGTCTAAAAATAAATAAAGGCTTTGTCACTGGAGTATAATTTTAAGGCCCTTGTAATGAATAATGGAATAGAGTATCTTTCCAAGGAAGTGGGATACACTGATTTCAAACAGAAAGATTTCACAGTTAATCTGAAATTCACAGTTATTGTAAACTCCAGATAACCTAATTTTATTTCATTTCAATAAAAGGTAGGGCATTAAAGGGACTATTAAAAGCTTTGGTATTCTTTWAAAATCCATTTTTTAAATGCAGAATCCTTTCTACATGCAGCCCCTCCTGATGAGACCACCATTTACCTATCCTGGGGGCTAGGAACTAGAGCACGGTGGCCAGCTGGTTCCTATGGGTCACCAAGCAGCAGAATCAGGCTCAGATTTCACACTTTTGGGCTCTCAGCCCTGACATAATGCAGAAATTATTTCCCCTAAGCCAAGAAGATAGAAGAGACGAGATAAGGATGCGTAGATCACTACAGACTAATTGCTAACAAGCTGGAGGGAAAATAAACAACTAGAGCACCTCAGAAGTCAAAGAGGCTGCAATRGCAGGAGTTTGGCCTGGTAAATGTGTTGGTTTGCTTCAAAGATAATGTTTCCTACTTCACAATAAACTCCTTTACAGATGATTTTGAAGGCTATATCCTCAAATAGATAAAAACAAGGTTTTCCAACTGAAGATGTGGTAGAAGTTCATTGAAAATCTGTAAATCAAGCACAATTTTTGCTCTATTTTGTCTAATTCCTGTAACAGAGCATCTCCCAACCTTAGCGCTAGGAATGGCCGGAGCAGCAGGAATGACCATAACCACAATCACATCCTTGGTACAGACCCGCCTGGCACTGGATAATCTCCAGCTGCTTTCTCCCTGCTGTGTGTTGGCAGCACTGGATCATCCTGGGGAGTTAAACTGTGGTGCTGGGCACCGAGGGAGATTGCTTCTAAAACTGCATTGAAAGAGAACTGGCATTTGGATCAACAACTTCCCTGTATTAACTGTCAATTCGCCAAAATTAGAAATGCCAAAGAAGCTCAGAGATTTTTGGGGTGGAATGCAAAGAATCATCTAAACTGAATTACAGATTTTACCATTTCAAATTTTAAAAAATGAARGATTTTGTCTCCAAATCCTGCCACTTGTTAGAATGAATTCCACCTGGTAAAATGAATGCAAATTTAACCAACAACATAATTATCCATTATAACGCTACAATTCCAGAATGATTAGGCCAGGTTTAAGATAACTCATTGATGGCTCCATTTGAAACACCATGAAGTGGGAACAGGAAGGAAAGGTCATCTCCAGCTACACAAAGAAGTCAGATTAATGCAAACCCTCCCTCTGTGAGAGCACTGACTGCATGTTG